AACCATCACAATTGTAAAGTCCTCCACATTTCTGCTGCCTTCGCAGTTACGAAGGTAAGTTCACAAATGCGAACATGATCCTCTGCAAATGCGATGAAATGATCGCAATTGCGATCCATGCCCTTCCCAGTTTTACTTCGCAAATGCGAAGAAATCTTCGCAAATGCGAAGACTGCTTGGCCTACCCTTCCTTCGCATTTGCGATGAAGGCCTCGCAAATACGACCTCAATAGTGATCGCAAATGTGAACCCTGACCTCGCATTTGCGAGGTCTGAGGCCCACAACACAGCTGAAACACACCAGTTATTCTTCTTAAGTCCAAAACACTCCATAACCTATCCGAAACTCACCCGAGCCATCGGGGCCCCAAACCAAATATGCACACAAGTCTTAAAATATCATACGAACTTGCTCGCGCGATCAAATCGCCAAAAATAGCACCTTGAACTGCAAATTTAGCACCAAATTGCATGAAATTTTCAAGATACTTTCAAAACTTCTATTTTCTCAACCCAAGGTCTGAATCACGTCAAATCGATTTTGTTTTTCACCAAATTTCACAGTTAAGGTTTAAATATCATAATGGACCTTTACCGGACTACGGAACCAAAATACGGGCCTGATGCTAACAAGATCAAATCCTTTAAATTATTACATTTTCAATCTTATCAATTTCCTTCAAAAATTTATTTCTCGGGCTAGGGACCTTGGAATTCGATTCCCGGCATACGCCCAGGTCCCAAATTTTACGACGAACCCTTTAGGACCATCGAAACACTAGTTTGGGTCTATTTACCCAAAACGTTGACCGAAGTCAACTTACCCAAAACGTTGACCGAAGTCAACTTACCCAAAACGTTGATCGAAGTCAACAAAAATCAACTTTTTAGGCTAAAAATCATCATTTCATAATTTTTTCACATAAGGGCTTTCCGATTATGCGTCCGGACTGCGCACGCAAATCGAAAAAAGATAAAACGAGATTTTTAAGGTCTCGAGATACGGATTCGAGTTGTAAAACAAAAGATGGCCCTTTGGGTCATCACACTTATTATTTCGTGGTAGATTATAAGTATATAGTAAATCGTGGAATAGAATTCTAATTCATGTGAAATGATGTATTTTGATTTTTCAAATCATTGTGTAACATTAAGTAATTATACTAGATAATATTATATACTTTGGTATAACTATATATGTAAAATTGAGTTAAATCTTTGTTATGTTTGTTTACTTTATATTTTATATTTTAGTTAAATAAAATAAAAAAATAATAAAAGTATCTTACAATAAATATTTAAGTTTATTTTCCTCTTTAAAATAATGTTACTATGCTTTTTGGTAATTTGACACTCAAAAGCACTAGAAAAATTAGCCAAACGCAAACTGTTTTTTTTAAAAGTACTTTCTGAAAAAGTATTTCTGGAAAAAAGTACTTTTTAAAATAAGTAGATTTTGTCAGCTTGCCCAAACGGGCTCTAAAGGGAACTTTATTTAATGAATGACCTTAAAACAGATAATAAGGTGCAATTAACAAACCTCATCATTGCGTAATGCCTTCTTTGATTGCAATCAGGGTGTACATAGACTGAGTTGATTCGGCTTTTATCAAACCAAACCAAACTAAATCAACTATTTTGGATTGCTTTAATTTTGTCGAATTTTTCAAGTTTTCGGGTTTTTTTGTTCCACGAATATTATTTCAATCATACTTTGTTAAATTTGTGATAAATAAATATATATATATATAGTAAAAATAGAAAAAAATTGACAAACATATGATCTATTAACATATTCTTATAGGAGAATTTTCTTAGTAACATATGATTGTTATTTTTTAGTCGTTTGATAATAATATGTAATTGATATACACTTTCGAGGTAAACTGAATTTAATAATTAAACATAAAAATCAATATGATATCTATATAAAGATACGTTATATTTAATTTTTAATTATCGAAATACCAAATTAAATTCGAAAAGATATAAGAATTTAATAGATCTTGACATATAAATATGGAAGAAGAAAGAGATTGATACATTTCATTAACATTTGATAAGAAATTGATCATACAACCCATTATTTACAGCTATAAAAATAGAGAACTTCATATTTAACTAAATATTACATCCCATAAGAGAATCGCAAATATTTCTAGATATTTTTTTAAAGAAAATTCTATGAAAAGTCTTAAAAATATATATAAAAATTATATATTTATATGTCGGTTTGATTCGAATTTTTTTTACTCACTACCAAATCAAATCAAACCAAACCTAATTATAGGGGTTTTAATCTGTTTGATTTGACTTTTCGATTTAGTGCGGTTTTCTAGTTCGATTTATATGCCCAAATTGCAATATTAGAGCTTGATGACGAAATAATACATTGTGAATACTTATATGGCAAATTATTTTATTCGGCATTTGGTTGATATTTCGAATCCGGAATTAGCAATTTCAGGTTAATTTGTACCACAATTGTCGTATTATTCTATCCCACGATACGGTAATAATTCCAAGATTGTTACTCTCAAGATAAAACACTACAATAACAAAGATAATGCCTTTTAGGCTCCTCCCCTAAAGTTCTTTAAAAAAATCTAAGGTTACAATCAAAAAAAGGTTAAAATCTATATCTATATATTTATATAAAAGAGGGTAATAGAAAAGTGAGGTGTCATCTCTCTTTATCCAAGAAACTCACTTATTTTTTTCTCCTTTTTTGGCTTTTCTCTCATTTTTCCATTTTATTAAATTTAATGTTTATGTTTAGAAATCCAAAAGTCACAACTTTCCCTTTAATTCAATGTAATTGTTCCAATCCATTCAATGATATTCAACCGTTGCAATTAATTAGGAATGTGAAAAATAATTTTCTAATTTTAGAAGACGTCCATAAAACTCGCATTTCAATAAGGTTGTGACTTTTCAATAACGTGACCACCAAATATTTAATTTGCAGACACTAAATTGCATCTTTCCTTATCGAATAATATGAAAGTAGCAACAGTAAAAATGTATAATTTTGTAGCATGTTGTCCTGTTTGAGTCAATCTCATTTTGATCTCCAATGATCGACATGCCCCAACTATTTTACTTTCGTTCAGTGATCTAATCAAGTCCAACAAGAAGAACAATATGTATTAGGTGTTTTATATTAAGGTTTTTTTGAGGTTATGATGATTACGGATAAACTCACATGGGAGGAGAAGATTTCGATCAAAAAGTCATGGCTTATTTCTGAAATTTTTCTTTCTTTTACCTTTTTCTTATATCTTTGATCTGATGTACTCAACATAAAAAATTATTTCATTTAATCTTATTTTGACAGAAACTTCTTGTGCTTAAATTAATGTATTGAGTTTGAATAGGGAGGCATATAGTTGGCTGCCTTATGCAAAGATTAATTTCAAGAAAGGCTCATGCTCTAACCAAAAATTGCCGGACTTTTTACAATATATCAAGACCATCAAGTGTTAATCAAGGTACGATTACTTAAATTGCAATAATATTTTGCTATTATTTTTTGGCCCATTAATTTTGAGGTCACATAAATTACCAAATAATTTTAGGTGTTGGAGGATGAAAGAGGCATTCCACACAAGCTTGGAACTGTCGGGATTTCTCATGCTCCAAGGTAAGCTAATTTATCCAAATACAAGAAACTCAGAATTAAAACTTTTCAACATAACTACTTGGCACAATCGTATTATTGGTTTGTGCTTGAAATAGGGAAAATGGGAAAAAACAACATTTACAAGGTAGATGTAACATTGTAATAAAAATATTACATATAACAACGAAAGAAGCAGAAAGACATCAAAATCTTTCTAAAAGATGAAGCGGCAAGACATCAAAATTTGAGCTACTTTAAGGCACGAAGAATTGAAGAAAAGAACAACTGAAAAGGAAAGAATAGAAGAATAATGAAAAAGATTATTAAAGAAAAAATAATAATACTTGATAGAAAAGAAATAAGAACCGGTAATGGACAGACAGAGCAACTTGCGTTGCCATTTATTTTAATTTTTTTCTCTCTTTCTATTTGTAGTTTCTTCACTTTCTAATTTTCTTTTCTGATTTTTTTTTTCATTTCATGTTTCATTTATTTGGCTAAAAGAAAATTCTATTATTTAGAAAGTTTTACTATTTAATAAACAAAAATTCAGGTACATATAAACATGTATCTAATATATAATTTGACTAAAAGAATCATGCATACACACAAAACATATAATTAATGTGTGTTTGTTTCATTGTTTGTGTGAAAAGTTTCGTTACGAACTCCCTTCCCTTTTTAAAAAAAAAATTGATAAAATGAGGTTAGTCTAAGCTTGTATTTTAAGAGAAAATTGTGTTTGTGATTTTAACTATATATGAATTATTTTCATATACACGTGATAAATAATAATTTTTCTATTGTGATTGAAAATGTATAAATATTATTTCTAAACTATTGATGTCTTTATAATCGCGCGAAGCGCAATCAAATTTACTAGTTAAAAATAAAAGTTTACCCCAATTTATTTAGTAAACACCAAATATATATTTTACATTATATCCCATATATTCAATTTGTGGTGTAATAAAACAAATATCTACCGATAAAAGTATATTTCACCAAATAATTTACTCACTATATAATCTCCGCATTATAATCCCGGAATAACTTATACCCCAACCAAAGAACCCTTTAAAGCTTAAAAAGAAAAGTACAATCAGATTTAAAACAAAAAGTCTTGCTAATTCGAAGAGAGACGAGATTGTAATTTTAGGAAAGTAGGAAGATGCCAGTACTATAATTTAGCTAACTGCTTCGAGTGTCAGTTTGCCATATAGAAGGCATTCTCTGGTTGGTATGGTATCTGTTCCTACATGTACTTGCATTGACGCACTCAAAATTTCAATTTCTGAGGATAGCATAGCATGTGACGTGGCTTATTAAATAAAAGAAGAAAAAAAAGACTAAATCTGATTTCTCTATGACCCAAAAATCTGCTTATGTGGATCATATATACTTTGGGGCTTAGGCGAAGGTCCATCTATAAATACTCTCAGAATGTACATGTTCTTCACTGCAACTTCATAGCACTTCGAAAATCACAACCCCCCTGATTTATTTTGCAAAGTAAACATCACATTCACAACCCAGAAAATGAAGGTATGCATGTCTAAATTATTTTTTGTCATTCTAATACCTAAGCAGCGTTTCTTATCTTTGGGTGTACTATATATAGACTATAGTTCGGTTTTGATTACTAACATGTGCTCTTACAGCAAAAGGTGGTTATCAAATTATCCTTGAATGGAAATGATCAGAAATATCGGTCCAAGGCCTTCAAGATTGCTGTTTCTCAGCCAGGTATATATTGATTTGTTTCCTTTCAGTTCTTTATTTTAATGGTTTCATGAATCAAAATCTTGTGAAACTCATAGTGAGGATTAATTAATATTGCTGTTCTTTTACTTAGGTGTGGAATCAGCAGCTATGAGAGGGGAAGAGAAAAATCAGTTAGAAGTGGTGGGAGATGAGATTGACGCTGTGACGCTGACAAGTTTGCTCAGAAAGAATTTGGGGCAGGCGGAATTGGTAAGCGTTGGCCCTGCTTCTGCTGCTGGTGGCGAAAACAAAAACAAAGCTGGTTCTGATACAAAGCCCCAAGCTTCAGCTGCGGCCGTGGCACAGTGGCAAACTCCCTACTATTATACCCTGCCTCAATACCCTGTTTATCAAGTTAGAGATTCATATGATCATCAACCTGGCTGTTCTATTATGTAAACACAAATGCGGATTATATTATCCTACTGTGAACATGCATGTAGTGTGTGTATTTTGGGGCTACAACATCTGCACAATCGAAGATGCTGAAATGTCACAGCTTGAGTAGCACTCGAGTTTCTGGTCCGTCCACATAGCTTAATGCATCGAATATATATCAAATAGACCATAAGTTTTGGTTTTAGTTCTTCTTTTTTTTTTTGGTCGAAAAAATATAGTTATATTATAGATAATCAAACACAGAGAGCTGTTAAGAAGATGCATCAGCGGTCAGATTTACAAAAGTAGAGTTTGGCACCAAAGCCCCGTATGGGAACCATTACTAGTAATAAAGGTAGAACTAGGTAAAACACTGCTAATAATACTAGGTACCGTACTAGTTAAAATACTACTATTACACAAAGTATTTGAAACAGAGAGTGATTGTGTTGAAGTGGTAGACTTAGTTTTAATCAGTCTTCTTTGTAGTGTGCCATTTTGATCTTGTTGGTAAGAAGGTATGGCAAAAGGTGGTGGACTTCCAAAAAGTAGACAGCTATCCTATGCATGCATGGTTCTATATTTAGCTAAACTATCTGCAACACAATTTTGCTCTCTGTAGATGCTTTGGAGAGGAGGACTATCCAGCTGTAGGAGTAATAACCTGCAATCGTTAATAAGATTAGTGTATTGCATTGTAGTTGAGTTAAACATACCGATTATTGCATGTGCATATGTCTCAATGATGAGTGGTTTGAGGTGCTGTTGTACATCAATTTTTAGCCCCATGAGCAGTGCTAGAAGTTCTGTCTGAACACTTGTCCCGTGTGTTGATGTTCCTGCAAACCCTATAATCCAGTTGCCTTGGTAATTTCGAAAAATACCACCAATACCATTATTGCTCTGATTAGAGGAGCAAGACCCATCAATGTTTAACTTATAAGTGTTATGGTTTGGGGATGCCATTTTATATATAAAGTTGTTAGAGAATAATTTTTTGATATAGGATTTGTTAGAAAATAAAATTCCGCAGCCTTTTGTAATATAAAAGGTATATTTAAAGTGAGTTTTTGATGGTCTAGGGTGTTCTTATTCTTATAATCCAAAGCTGCCATAATGCAAAAGGTATGAGAGTGATATATGGAATTTTTTGAGGGGTTGATAGTAACGGTGTATGTATAAGTTGGTATAACCAACTTATATTATCATTTTGGGATATAGAAGAATTGGTATGTGTAGATGAGACCTTAAGTACAGTCTAAAGTTGACTGGCATTAGGACATTCTAGAAAGAGATGGGTTATTGTTTCAGGGGCCATATTACGCTGTGGACATATAGATGAATTAAGGATACCTAATCTTGCAAGATACACAGCCGTTGGGTGTCTGTCATGACAAAGTAACCATAAGAAAAACGATATCTTTGGTGGAATATGAAGCTTTCAAATTCACTTATAAGAGTATAGTGGATTTGTTGTTATTGGATTTATGGAATTTATTATAGAATTGTACATTGAATTTACAGAGAATATATCATTTGTTGTAAGAGCCCAATATATTTGATCACATATTGTGGGCACAATAGGCATATAAATATCTGTGATTGTGGATTGTAGATGAGTTGGTAGTGTGAATGGTAATGTGTCTAGATGCCATTTATGATTGTAATAGTAATTGCAAACAAGTTTTGTTTTCTCATATTGTGGGAGGGGTCCATTTATGCAGTTACAAATTAAGTAATTCTGGTTGAGCCGAAGATTATTCCAAAATTTTACATGTTGACCGGTAGTAAGATTTCATTTATACCCTAAACAACAGTAGGACCACCCTCTCATAATATTATGCTAAGTGGAGGAACTTATTTTTTGATCAGTTGTGGTGGTCGTAAATAACTATGTAGTAACACTTGTGCCCACAGTTGATGTGGATTTTGAAATAACCTCCATGCAAGACTTACATGCAAGGCTTGCTTTTTAGTACTTAGGTTCTGTATTCCTAAACCCCCTTGAGCTAAAGGTTGTGTGATTGTAGACCACTTAATTAAATGTAATTTTTTCTTCTGTTGAGTTGTTCCCCATAGAAAATTACGTTGATAGCGATAAAGGTATGAAAGTATATAATTAGGTATTTTAATGTATTGCATATGGTGATTAGGAAGGTGGTTTAAAGTTGATCGAATTAAAGTTGTCCTTCCTGCTTTTGATAAGAAGTTTGTTTTCCAACCTGCCAATTTATTTTTAAAATTGTCAATTAAGAATTGATAATCCCTTTTGGAAGGTTTCTTGATAAATATAGGGAATCCTAAGTATTTACCAAAACTTTTTCCTTCATTCATGTGAAAGATTTGTAGGATAGTTGTTCTTATAGTGGGTGAGCTATTTTTGGATTTTTTTTTTGATTTCGCAAAAATGATAGTTTGTCCAGATTGATGTGTGAATTGAGTAATAGTATTAACAATAGATTGACATGTGTTAGCTGTAATTTTTGACGTGAGAATAATATCGTCAGCAAAAAATAAATGGGATAGCTGAGGTCCCTTTTTTGCAAGTGAAATGGGTAGCCAAGCATGATAATCAACTGCTGCATTTATTTTTCTCGAAAGCATTTTCAAGCATAGAATAAACAGATAAGATGATAACAGGTTTCCCTGTCTAATGCCTCTCGTGGGTGTAAAATAGTCTGTAGGATTGCCATTAATCAGAATTGAAGTAGTAGCAGTTGTTATGCATGACATAATTAATTTGGTAAAAGTTGGAGGAAAATTTAAGGTGATTAAGGTATTATGTATAAACGACCATTCTAATTTGTCAAATGTTTTTTCAAGATCCAACTTTAGAAGCATATTTAAATTGTTACCCTTCATTTTTTGAAATATGGTAATGATTCCTGTACAATAATAGCATTATCAGTCGCTCTTTTATTTTTCTGGAAACTAGATTGAGTTGGATGAATAATATGTTCCAAAATAGGTTTTAGTCTGTTTATAATTATTTTTGTAATAATCTTGTAAATAGTATTACAAAGACTAATAGGTCGATATTGTGATATTGTTGATGTATTATTATTTTTAGGAATTAGGCAAAAGAAGGTTGTATTAATAGAAGGATCAATCTGATGGTCAAAGAAAACTTTATGACAAAAATATTTAACGGAGTTACCTATAATGTCCCTATATTTTTGATAAAATAATGGGTTAAGAACATCTGGTCCAGGTGCTTTTAGAGGTTTAAAGAATTTGATTGCATTTATAATTTCATAATCTTGTAAGGGTTTTGTTAGACAAGACTAATCATTTGGTGTTAATACATTAAAAGGCTGTATATTTTTTTTTTTGAAGTAGAAGCAGTTTTCTGAATTGTGAAAAGATGTTGGTAGTACTGTGTAATATTATCCTTAATGTGATGAGGGTCAGTTATCCAATTTCCCCCTTGATCTTGAATCGTAGTTATACGATTATGTCTCCTACGATTTAGAGTAGTAAGGTGGAAATTTTTTGTATTTGCATCGCCATCATTTAACCAATCAATACGTGACATTAATTTCCAAAAATCCTCCTCAAGCTTGAGGATTTTATTAAATTCCATTGTTAATGTATATTCTAGATTATGTAAAAAAGTGCTAATTGGATAATTGAGAGAAGATTGAATACCACCTAAACGAGTCAGTATTTGCTTTTTACATTTAAAAATATTACCAAAAGTTGATTTATTTAATTCTTGGACTATGTCAGTAAATTGATTAATAGCTGGTAGTAATTATAAATTATCCAGCCATGCATGTTCAACTATAGACGGGAATGAAGGGTGTGTAGTCCATATAATTTCAAATCTAAATTTTTTTACGAGGTAGTGGGCAGTGTTGGAGTTCTAGTTTAATGGGACAATGATCTGAATGAGTACGGGGGAGGTGTGTGACAAGTGCATCAGGGTATTGGTTTAGCCAATCGTAATTAACCATAATACGGTCAGTACGTTCAAGTATATTAAAATTATTATGCCGTCCATTTTTTCAAGTATAACGACTTCCTTTATAACCTAAATCTGTTAAATGACAATAGTTTATACAATCTAATAATTTATTTGATCGTGAATTATTAATTTGTAATCCACCAAATTTATCATTTGCATGTATTATTTCTTTAAATCGCCACCTATGAGCCATGGGCCCTTATAATTATCATATACACACATTAGATTTTGCCATAAAGACTGTCTATTTGCTAAATCGGTACTAGCATAAATGGCAGTGAATAAACACTTAAAAGGAAAAGGGTGTGCCAATGGATTTCTTGTGTATTGGTTGCCACTGGCTCAACATTAAGAACATCAGAAAGCCATAATATTACGATTCCTCCAGACTGACCTATAGCAGTCACCTCGATTATACCAGTGAAATTGAAGTCTTCCTTCAATATTTGATGGCTTTGACAGTGGGTTTCTAACAGAACAACCAAAGATGGGCGATTGTAATCAAGTAGTGAGCGAAAGTTTCTTCGAAAATCAGATGATTGAGCTCCCCTGCAATTCCAAATATTGAAATTCATATGACTATTGAGTGGTTCGAGCAGTTGACCACTCCTTGTATTCCTCTGATTGTTGTTGGTCTCTCATGGACGTAGACGTAATGTGGGAAGTAGAAGTATTACATATTTTCCCACATCTGGGTTTGTTGTTGGCCTTAGTCGAAAAGATGTTGTCATTAGATTTGGAGGGCACCGTATGAATATTTTTCTTTTGTACTCCTCCTTCTAGACAAAGACCTTGATTCCATCGAGACATGCATGAACTGGACGTGTTTCCTTATTGTAAACGACTGCTGCTTCGAGTTCTGCCTAAAATATCATGTCTTGTTCGAGTGGATTGGGATGGTGAGGTGGTGACTGGGGTGGTGATGAAGTTGGGGTTGGAGGTGTTACTGGTTCCAATAGTGGTATGTGTGGTTGTGGATCCATGTAAGGTTGAATCCAAGGTGTGGCAGGAGTAGGAGTGGGGTAGAAAGGCATTTGAAGAAGATGTGGGTGAAGGTGAATGGGATCCCAATATGGTGTTGGGAGATGTAGAGGGTGGTATGGTGCAAGATAAAGTGCTTGCATCATAGACCAGTGGTATCTTGCAAATATATCTGTCCCTAGTTGCATGCCCTCCGCTACTATTTGCGCAAGATCCCTCGAATT